TATGCAAGTGCTCCAATTGCTTTTTTTTATACATCTCTCTATGCACCATATTGAAATATAGCTCAAAAGCATTGCATCAAAGACACTGGCATTAGTTCCTTTCCTACCTAGAAAATACGCTGTATTTTTATTCCTTGCTGACAGGTCAAAAATGCACATACTCTAGATAGTAGAAGGTTTCTCAAATCCACGTCAGTGCAAAATTGACAAAACTCATAGTAGGCCATAGTGGCAACAAAGGGTCAGGAGCCCTCATGCACACCATTCTGAAATTAACATTTGCATTTTCACTTGACAGGCAATGTTCTGCTTTGAATTTCCAATGAACACATTTACTTTGCATAAAAAAGAGCACCTTTGACATCCTAATCTTCTACAATAATATGAATGAATGAATGAATGAATGAATGAATGAGTGAGTGAGTGAGTGAGTGAGTGAGTGAGTGAGTGAGTGAGTGAGTGAGTGAGTGAGTGAGTGAGTGAGTGAGTGAGTGAGTGAGTGAGTGAGATAGTTTTAAGTTTAAAACTAATCTACTGCAAAGTATATGTTGCCTGGGAATGTGACTGCATCTAAAATGAAGTTGGCTTAGTTCAAAGGGGCACGATGCTTCTGCAGAAAACACACAGAAACAGGGAGGGTCTCTAAATGACAGGCTTCTTGTAGATATATTTTTTGAGTTGTGGATAGGAAATAATTTTTCACAAGGACATTGAAATTAGGAGTTACTGTGATTGTGGTTTTTACCTTTGAAGCGTAAAAAAAAAAAAAGTGAACCCTTATATTATCTCCATGCAGAGAGCTCAGTTTGGCCATGTAGGATTACATGTGCTGTCAGCATGGGCATGATGCTAGATACAGAACATAACCTATTTTTTTAAAAAAACAGAATAGTGAAATACTTGGGCAGTATTGTGTGTTTGTGTCTGTGTGTATTAACAGATCTACCATGTCAGTAAAACCGATAAGACATAAATAAATAAATAAACCTCTAGTGTAGTGGAAAATATTATGGGTATTTATTGCTTCCTTAAGGTCATTTGTGGCATCATGAAAAGGATTATGGTCTGGCGTGAGAGGGGACAACATTCCAAAGCACTCCAAAGGATCTATTAAGAGCAACTCCCAGAGAGCTTTCATGGGTTAGCTATAAACAAAACAACCACTATAAGCCATTAAACTACTGTAATCTATTTGTGGACAAACAGTTCAGTGAGAGGTGAGGAAAGCTAATGTGGGTTTTAAATTGGAATAACTAATAGAAGCAGCACGTAATTATACAAGGTTAGTCTAATAAAATAAATAAGTGTTTGTACATCTGCAGCAGACTACTTCGTTTATTCAACAGACCACAGAAGATTTCTCCTCAAGGACAAGTAAATCATTTCCACCGCAGCATTTAGACCGCAACAAGAGTTTCTCAAAATCCACTTCACAATGGCCATACTATACAATGGCTAGGAACTCATGAGACTAATATTAACCAAGAATACCATCAGCTAATACTTTCACCCATGCCTTGGTGAAATACAATCTTGAGAGCTACACAAATACATCATTACACATTTTTTTTTTGCCTATACCGAAACCTCACAGGAGCAGCTTTGACATAAAATGTCAGCACTACATGCCTCTCATCTCTCAATCGCACGGGAACAGAAAACATTACAATTACTTCCCCAATTTAACACTGTTGCCTCATAAATCAACAACGATTTGAAAGCTCCACACAACTGTGCAGTTCATTTTGTCCAAGCATATGTTCAATGAGTGCCTGAGGGACCATATGCTGTCAGCTTATTGTTTCAAAGTAAACAGACACATACAAGGAACTTTCTGAAACAGACTGACTCTAATGAGCCTTTAAACTCTTTTGTTGACTTTTGCTACAACTGTTAAGATTCAATGAACCCAAACGAGTACAGCAAGCAACATCTCCGGAGTGAAAGACCATCATTAAATAAATTATTTCAAGGCATAGTGTCCTCAAAAGCGAAAATCCTGTCATTGTTTACACCCCCTTTACTTGCTCCAAACATGTTTGAGGTACTTTTTTCTGTTGAACACAACACATTGCATTTTGAAGAGTATTGAAAATCTGTAATAATTGACATCCATAAAAAAAACATGTTTAAACTCGACTCCCATATGATTCATTCAGTGATTCACTTGCTCCCAAAGCCCTCCTTAGCATGAAGCTAATTTGCGAGAAATGCCTACCACAGCTATGAAGTAGCAAAGAGTATGTGAGAGCCCAATGCAGGAATGCAATAAAGCAATGCAGATAAACACCAGCATATTACTCTACTCTTAAACCTTACCCCAAGTAATAACAATGACACATTCAATATTAATCCACACAGTGGCAAATGTTGAACTATTTTGAAAATTGACCATGCCGTGCATGTAGGGAACAGCAGAGGATCACGAGATCAGAAATACGTTTAAATCAGTAAAGGAAAAAGCATGCATCATATTTTTAATGTGGTTTTGGACAACATATGTGAACAGCCCCATAAAGGGTTAACCTGAGAGATACAGTACAGGCACTGATCTATAATAGATAAGTGATTACAAGCCATGCGGGGCAATTACAACTTATAACACAATTACACTTTGCAAACTATACAAAATGAGGCAACAATTTTAATTACTCTTACATGTTATGATCCAGAGGAAAGAGAAACTGGTTTAATCAAAATATAGCATCCAAGTTTGCAAAAGAACTCTCTTTAAAGGTTTAGCTGCATTTGTGCAATGACGAAACTGCAATTATTTTATGATGACAACATTACACTCTGTTCTAAACTGTTTACATCTCCAGACTCTTAAATGTACATTTCTATACTATCCTATTCTAATGCCTATTACTTTTCGTATAATGACTATAACCCATTTAAATTCATTCATTCATTTTCTTTTCGGCTTAGTCCCTTTGTTAATCTGGTGTCGCCACAGCGGAATGAACTGCCAACTTATTCAGCATATGTTTTACGCAGTGGATGCCCTTACAGCTGCAACCCATCACTGGTAAACATCCATACACACTCATTCACACATACACTGTGGACAATTTACCTTATCCAATTCACCTGTACCGCATGTCTTTGGACTTGTGGGGGAAACCAGAGCACCCGGAGGAAACCTACGTCAACTGGGGGAGAACATGCAAACTCCACACAGAAATGCCGACTGACCCACCTGAGACTCAAAACAGTGACGTTCTTGCTGTGAGTCGCCCGTGCAACCCACTGCGCCACCTGCAGCCCCTAACTACATTATATTTATTTATTTTATTTTATTATTTTGAGGATTAATTTCGTTATTGTTTCTGTACTTTTTGACTTTTCATCAACTAAATTATCAAAAAAGTCTGTTTTATTCAGTTAAAGCAGGTGCTGCAAATCACATTCATATTTTATTATATATTTTTATTATACACATTCTATTTTAACTGCAAAAAAACTAAATAGTTTAAAGAACAAACATAACTAGTTTTTAAACTCACAAATGTTTTTTTTACATGAATTGAATGCACCGGGCATCATGGTGGCGTAGTGCGTAGCACATTCACCTCACAGCAAGAAAGTCGCTGGTTCCAGTCCTGGCTGAGTCAGCTGGCATTTCTCTGTGGAGTTTGCATGTTCTTCCTGTGTTAGTGTTGGTTTCTTCCCGGTGCTCCAGTTTCCCCCACAGTCCAAACACATGTTCTGTAGGCCAACTGAATAAGCTAAATTAGCCGTAGTGTATGTGTGTGAATGCAAGAGTGGGTGGGTGTTTCGCAGTGTTGGGTTGTGGCTGGAAGGGCATCCACTGCAAAAAACATATGCTGGATAAGTACATTACGCAGTGGCGACCCCTGATTAATAAAGGGACTAAGCTAAAAGGAATATGAATGAATGAATGAATGAATGAATAAATGAATGAACCATGTAAGAATCTGCTGAAGTCAGGCGGTACAATGGTCATATTCTACAAGTCTCAGAAAATACCCACAATCCAGCATGAGTTCACTTTATTATGAAGTTATGGTCAGAAACCAATTTAAAAAATAATCAAAAGGTGGCAAGATAGCTCAGTGGTTAGAATGGCTGGTCCCTGGTTTTAGTCCTATTTTTGTGGAGTTTGCATGTTCTCCCCATGTTTACATGGGTTTACTACTCATGCTTAGGCTTCCCTCACCGTCCAAAGACATGTGGTGTATGTGAATTTGATAGTAAATAAGTAAATTAATATATAATGTGTGTGTGTGTGTGTGTGTGTGTGTGTGTGTGTGTGTGTGTGTGTGTGTGTGTGTGTGTGTGTGTGTGTGTGTGTGTGAATGGGAGAGTGTGCGGGTGTTCTTTATGGTTTACTTTTTCATTTTACAAACCAGCTGAGGGAACTACAGATTTTTTTTCATAGAGTAAATTATGTGGTTCAAACTTTGGTGTACAACTAAATCCCAGTCCTACCTCAAGCAAAGCCCCTTCATTAAATCCCTATAATAAATATTAATAATGAACACTTGATTTGCAATTTTGTAACTGTTACAAAATTAACACATACTACCCAAACATTCTGTTTCTCTCACATTTTTATCAACCTTCAACTACCAGACACAGTCCTCAAGCAGTAAGTGGAGAATGGAGATGGTTCAGGCATTATCTTATGCTGAATGGCAGGTATATGCTGTGTGATGCCATTTCCTGCACAGGCCAATCAATGCTATCTGACCTACTGATCCCGGAGAGCCATCAGAAAAGAAGGGTGGGTCTAAAACTCGGTCAGTAAGCTGTTGTTTACATTTTGAAAACCAGTTTGGGGCAATGTTCCAGTCATCAAACATCCCATATTCCATGTATCCGAGCCATATAGCCTCTATTGCTGATCACATGGATAAAAACTCGCATGAAGTTATATATCTCTTGTGTTTTTCTCGAATTGAGGCTATTTAAAATTGTCATTTAAAACTGAACGATATGCCACGTGGTTTATTTAAAAAGTAAACAGAGCAACTCACCTTATTAGAGTATGGCTGCCTGGCAAGGTTTATCCCGTCCCTAATGAGCTTATCCCTGATCATGATCTTCAGCTTCAGTTTGGGGTAGATTTCCAGCTCCTTGCGGTTCCCCAGGGTCAGATTCCTGGACGCCCCCATGTACCCCACGCCGCGTGCGGCTCTATCACTGCTCTGCTCTGTCCATGACCTGGAGCCCCGCAGCCTTGACTCATATTGCTCTGCCATGCGACTCGTGTATACAGGTGAGACCGGGGGCATCGGCTCTAGGGTGAAATAAAGCCCGGTAGCCGTCTCTCTATCGTCATCTTTTAACCTTTGCACCGCATCATGAATCCGCTGGCGGTGGTGCGGAATGAAAACCCCGATGGCATCCAGGTCAGGGTCTCCGATTTGTTTGCAAACTTCCAAGTCGTCGTATCCGTTATCCACAAACGCCTCGACATATTGGCAAAGTTGAAGGGTTTTTAGCCATTCGTAGACGATGTTGGGTCCATTAGTCATCATTTTGAACGGCGTTTAAAAGGAAAGGTGCGTTTACCTTTGTGAGCAGGTGACTGAAAGCGCGTGCGCCCGCGGTTCAAGTAAACATTCCAGTCAATTTGTCATCTTCATGCAGTATTTCTCTCCTCTTTCTGATAGCAGAGGGTGTTTGAAAAATATCCACGAGGCCATAAGTGTTAAACACACCGTGTTGGGCTCTTCAGCGTTTATTAATGCTGACAATGTCGAGACCCTTCAACTTGGCATCGCCATGTACTCCACAATACCGCCCCTCTACGCCGCGTTTAAAGAGCCATTCACCGGTGACAATTAACGTTAGCGTCAAAAGTGCCTAACGTTACAATAAACACCATCCACGAAGACTACATCTTCCTCCCGTTTATTTCAAGTGTTTGCACAGCAATGTCCAAAAATAAATGTGATTTTTACGCACCGCGTGTATTTCCAGTGGTCTTTTTCTCCAGCGTTTTCATGGAAGCGTCCTTCCCTTGTGTCTGTCAGTACGGCTTAAAGCCAACTCTTTTCCCTGCAGAAGACAAATAAAACCGCGTTAGGAGACGAGCACATGTGGTTTCGGACTTCTTGCCACTGTTTGCCGAGCAGCGTAATCGAGCTGGCGAAGCCAAATATCGGTTTTCCTCAGTGAGGCGACGGTTGGCGAGCAGACGCGTTTGAATCTGGGCACGCGCTGTCAGAACTGTCAGTTTCTCAGAGTTAGAGGTAAATTAAAACCTGGCATCGCGTTTCGTAAAAAAAATAAGAGGAAGGATTTATTTCCGTATAGTATTAATCCATCAAGCCAGAACTTTGTGACTTTTATTTTTGTCAGTACCGCGGGAGGTAAAGGTGCGCGAGCGGCGGTGTGGAGGTAACGGCAGGCTGCGGTCTGTGAGCGGGTTGCGCAGGAGCGCGTGTCTCCTCTCTGCTGCTCTACTATTGGAAGTGCATTTCAGTCAGAAGCGCCGCAGCCAGTCTTATGATGCCCCCTGCCTTTAAAACGCAAAAAACAGTTCTTTGTGCTATAACTGATGGATACTACGGAGAAAGCTTTTGCATGATGAAAAAATAGTGAGGCTATACAGTAAATTACTGTTCCGTACATTCAGTAGTACTGTACATCATAGTTGACCAAAGACTTTAGCTTTAGTTTCCCCTAATATCTTACATATTTATTTTGTTTGATCAGTGGATTGTACATTATTTTCTTTTGTTTGTATCCTCATTGAAACACACAAACAGATACACAGTGTACTTTGAAAAAAAAAACATAAAAATGGTTTAACTAAAAAGTTAATAAGTAAATAAATAAAATTGACTAAATTACTAAAAAACATTCATTACTAATACTGTAAACACGGATTTATTTTCTATTTATAGTACTGTTGTTATTGTGTGCTCCTTCAACTGGGATTTTTATGTTCAATAGGATGATTGTTGTTTTTTAAATTGCTTTTTTTTTACAGCCTTCATTTACTGGTTTTCCTAGTACTGGGTTGCAGCTGAAAGGGAATGCGCTGTGTAAAACATATGCTGGATGGGTTAACTGTACATTACGCTGTGGCAACCCCTGATGAATAAAGAGACTAGGCTGAAGGAAAATGAATGAATGTATCATTTACAGAACAGGTTAACTATATTATAGCATTTCTTCATAGAAGCTTCTCAAACATTTCTCCTTGTCTTACTACTCCTCCTTGTGGGCTTTCATAGTATAACATCCTTCCACTCATTAATTTTCCTTCGGCTTAGTCCCTTTATTCATAAGGGTCAGGCACAGTGGAATGAACCACCAGCTTATCCAGTATATGTTTTAAACAGTGAATGCCCTTCCAGCTGCAACCCAGTACTAGGAAAAATCCATTCACTCACATACTGTACACTACAGCCAATTTAGTTTATTCAGTTCACCTGTACATGTCTTTTGACTGTGGGGGAAACCAGAGCACACCCACGGAGAGAACATGCAAACTCCACACAGAAATGTCAACTGGCCCAGCCGGGACTCGAACCAGCGACCTTCATGCTGTGAGGCGACAATGCTAACCACTGAGCCACCGTGTCGCCCTCACATCCTTTCTTATCTTCTCAATTACTTTCACGTACAAAATCAATAGTGTATGATAATTCAAGAATGACATAAATAGGATAGACATGTTTCTCGGTTGATTCTTCTAATAGTAGTAGACTAACTGCATCTTTATTAATTACTACAAAAGTCTTAATCATTTTAAAAATCATTTAATTTGCCTGACATATGGGCAAGCTTTTATCGCATATATTCAGAATCCAGTTGACATACATGTAATGTGAGCATATATTTTAAAGGAAAATCCCAATGCTGTACTGATCAAGAACCAGCTTTTAAGAATTGAAATAATGAGCCAGACGACACAGGTAAGATTTTATCATTTTATTTTCCATTGCACAGTAATTTCTATCTACAGAAATTCTAAATCATTTGTGGCAGCAGATAGTCATAAACATCCATGTGAAATTTGCATAAAACTGTACAAGAAATTGGCTACAATGAGAAAATACTGCAACCCACTGATAACTGTTATATTCAGGACAAAAAGAAAAAAAAAATGAACGAGGCTCTTCTGCATGTTGAAAGTGTAATATTTCAGGTAAGAATGTTCTGTCTGAGACAAATAAAACTATTTACTTAGAAGTCAACATGAAACATTACAAAATAAACATAACAAATTAGTCAAGAAAGCAACAGGAACCGTTTTCTTTTTAGTCATGAAGGGCAAACAACCAGTATCACATCAAGAGTGAGTCTGAAACCTCAATGAAAGAGACATGAATGAACAGAAGGTGTGATCAGTAAATTCTGCTGGAGTTTGAACACTTATTACTGACATTTACAGCATTACAGTTAAACACGGCTGATTGGATACTTTGTTTATCGATTGACACTGACAAAATAGCAACCTAGGACATCAAACCTTTCCTGGAATTATCTCATGAAAACCACGAACTGATCCTTTTTGGTTTGGAGTTGTAAATATCAACCATGTTGGGGCTTAAAATGTATTGTTTACGCTCAAACAAATACAGCTTTTTCTTTTTTTTACAGTAAATAACGAACCATACTGGTCCCCTGAAGGCCTTCATGATGTTTGACGCACTCACACATACATCTGGTATCTCAAGGAAACTCTCACAGATCACATTTAATGCAAAATAAATAAATAAATAAATCACCCTGTTGCGTGACACACGACAGAACACAAAGATATGAAGACAGAGCGCAATGAGCTCAAAATACGTCCTCCTCAAAGCATATATAAAAATAATCTATAATAATAATAATAATAATCGATGATTAAAAATATGACAAGGATATCTATTCAGGGAAATACAGTACTGCAGAGAAAAATACACATCGTACAAATATAATTTAATTAGTTAATCAGGAGAGATGACATACGAGCGAGATATTCAAAAAACAAACCCGGTCTTCAGAAACACTATAACACCATGGCATGAAAACACATCTACAGAGAATATAGAGTCCAACACAGAGAAACATTTAGAGTCTGAGAGAGATTGGCTTAGTTTGTTTTGTAATTCTTTTTTCCCCCTTTTTTTTCTTCGTTGTTTGAAGTACGGCATACGAAACACACGAAAGGCAGACTAGCACACGGCCAAAAACATCAGAGAAGTCCTCAACACTGTTACTGATGGAAAATGCAGTGGTGCTTCAGACACAAACGGCTGTCGAACACTGTCGATGGAAAACACAACTCAATGAAAGAAAATCTTTGGCGTTCGAAAAAGATATGGCAACTGTCTTGGGGTCAGTATGGCCACGCGTACACACGATTTATGCTCCCAGATTGTCAAACTACTTCATTCACAGAATGGCAAAAAACTTTGGGCAGAGAGGCAAGTAAGAATCGCTATCTTAACAACAATGGATCACATGATCAATGCAACATATATAGCAGCATTTCTTGCAAACCACAAATAATATACATATAAGTAATGGCACTAAAAATGTGGTTTCAAGGGAGAAATGGGATTTTTACCTTCATATTTAGTGTTACTTCTTGTTAGTTTTCTGGATTTGGGTGTACAGCGAACTCTCGTTGTAGGTGTTTTCACAGATGACGATGATTTTGAAGTATGTTTCGTTACACATGAAGCACCAGTGTGAAACCAGTACCGTCGCATACATGTTTTCCTGACATTCAGAACTACAATTAATATCGTTCCCAAGTCAGCCAAGACGCCCTATTTCAAGCTTATATTCAATTCTCAAGTCACAGAAGATGGAAAACTAATCCACGAATAGAGTCGTTTCCAACAGTACAGTAAGTGCTTTTTTATTTAACAAAAGTAAATGTTGACCAAAATATTACTATAGTACAATCTCTACATGTTCAACTAAAGCGTCTATGTGTGTTAGCTGGTCTATCGGACAAAACTTAACACTAATTTTCAGTCACAACAAATGTTCTAGCTGTTGAGGTCTATATGGCTGTCTACCCCAAAAGAATAAATATGATGGCTGACTTTAAATCTTAAATTTGCCTTCTTGCTTTCACGACTCGATCTTCTGTGCAGAGTTTCATAGAAAAATTAAATATAATGTATTACATGAAAATACCATCATTACATCACTCACAGTTGGTCTATAATTAGTTATTTCATTATTCATTCATCACATAGATCCTTCATTTCATCAACTTATCATAAACCCTATAGATGGTACTTTAATGTAAAGCATTATTGTAGTGATATTCCAATGCAATCTCAGGGCAATTCGTAACGTGTTGATTTAGTGGCTAATTCGTATGAATTTGTATGATCTAATTTGTACAGTTTAGTACCATTTGCTCATCCCCCAATGACGGTTGGGTTTAGAGAGAAGGTTGGGTGCCACACCTCCTTTTTAAAATCGTTCATTTCCGTACGACTGAACTCATACGAATTTGTACGAATTAGCCACTAATCTGACAAACGTAAAATACTTACGTTTTCTCGTGAGATCAGGCTGGATATTCACAATAGTTCAGTAAAAATATCACCCCAAAAGGCTTTTATATATCATTAGACATTTACAATTGATTTTTTTTGTACAGATTTCTTTTTTCCCTAAATAAATAAATAAATACATAAATAAATAGAAAACAATACAAAATAGATAAATAAATATTAAAATGGCAATTAAACCAAAAGGGGTAATTTGGGAAATTTACAAAAAAATACTGAGAACGGAGACATTGTGACTCCTCCACATTATGACATCATTTCCTGTGAATGGAGCTCTTCCCATGCTTAATCTTGTGTCTTTGTATTTCAGTTATCCTTGTGACAGTCAATAGCGAATATGGCATTTTTACAGACTTTGATGGAGCTTTATATAGAATTATGTATATGTATATATATATATATATACTCTTTTTTTATTTTTATGATGTTTATTGTTTAGTTAATGTATTTATTTTTTTTTTGTTGTTGTTGTTGAGTCTGTCTGTCTTTTTTTGACTACTTGCTGCTCTCCATTGCAGGAGGCAGGATGTGATTGCAAAAAAAACAACAGCACAAAAAACAATTCAAAGACTGAGAGAAGAAATGGAATTCTGGGGCCTGCAAAAGCCCAGCCGCCACGAGAGAAGACTGGCGATATTAAACGAACAAACGAAAACGAAGAGTGCATGGGCGCCATCATGGTATGGTATTCCTCAGATTGGGGTCGCTCTCAGTCTATGTCTCAGTTCTGTAAGCAGACTGTATTTAATATTGTGCTAGGAAAGAGCGAGGGATCCCACTGGTCCAGCAGAGGAGAGATAAAGATGGGAGTGGGAGAAGGATTACGGATGAACAAGGCTGTGTAGGAGAACTCCTGAGTCCCTTTGGGCTCTGCTGTTTTGCCGAGATCAGAACTGGTACCATTTCTTATCCT